GGGAAGGCGCGGTAGTTGCTGCAGGACGCGCCCCCCCCGTTACCCTGCCCTTACCCTGCTTCCTCCCGAGCACCGTGGACGAGCTCGCCCTGTCTCAGTATTTTGAATTGTTTAAAATTCTCTTTATGGAATCAGTTTTTTCTTTCCCTGGACCTTTGTCTCATCAAAATCAAGGACTATGTTCCTGGATATAGAGACGACTCTGACCAAAAGGGGACACCCCCTCCCCCCTACATTATGCAATTCTCTGTCTGTTTTTGATGCCTCTTTGTGCACGCAAACTCCAACCAACAGGCAGAGGGCAGTCAATCGAGACGAAGGTGTTCATTCATTCACTTTTCAGAAAGAGTGACACTACATATAAAAAGTAAAAACAGCCAATAAAAATATATTCTGAGTTATTAACAATTTAAACAAGATCTTAAAATCTTTGCCTCACAGCTTTAATGCACATCCTGTATAAGAACAATTACAAACACTTACTAGTGAGAGGCTTTTCTAGAGGAATCGTGCCCAGGCAGAGCAGCTCAAGGCTGCCCTGCCTACGGCTCAGTGCTGACCATCAGATCTTTCTACAAGAGAGGAGTAGCAATCATTCTACAAGAGAGAAGTTCTTACAATTAATTCCCATTGGTTCTTGAGTGACAGTATGTGTCCTGCAGTAAGGGAGCTATACTTCCACAGCGAGGGGCTTGTGCTGCAGAGAGGGATGGCAGCGATGCCCCAGACCCCAGCCCTGCACTCCTCAGCCGTTGCTTCTTCCCAGCGGGGATCTGCACACTCAATCGGGAGCATGTGAGCCATTCAAGCATGGCTCACTCTTCCCCGCAAGGAGCTGGGAGCCTGTCTGCGTGTGCGCGCTCACCAGAACTGTTTCTGACTCTGCTGCTTTCTAGGGAGAAAGACAAACAGGGAGGGGTGAACCGTAGGTCCCGCCGGACAACAGGCATATCTTCAAACTGAGCACATTTGGGTATCAGCAGATGACCTTCTAATGAGAAGTATCTTGCCAACCACAGCTCAGTCTTCTCTTATAAATCATTCCTGTGTGCTTGGCGGGCCCCGGGCGGAGGAGAAAGCCTTCAAAACAATGGCTCACCTGTCCCAGCAGGGATGTATACCTCTTCCCAGGTATAATCACCCAGGTTCACAGGCTGCTTCAGCCAGCGATCCTCTACTAACATTGCTAGAGTCACACGCTGCTCTGGAACAGGATGCAAAAGCCCAGCAATTAGATTCATGAGACCTGGGGAGAGACAGCAGTAAGAGGAACGGCTCGGTCTGTATTTTAGGCATGCTGGGAATGCAAGATATAGTTTATATTCAAAGAATGCAGATTTTAATTACAAATCCTCCCCGTTAATCCCTTGTGCAGTACTGTTCTTCCACAGTCTTAGTCACATGTGCTCAGCTCTGGGCATGATCTGAGATTTCCAGGTTGTGAAAACAGAGAACTGAGCGCAGAGTTATGACATTGAGGAGGACTGAAGTAGAAGCAAATGCCACAGAGGCAACTCTGCCTCACTGTTTCCGAGCCCAGTCCTGCCCTGCAGTCATCCCGTGTTTGATCTGTGACTAAAGGTGCACTTGGGGTTCAGGGAAAGCTTTGAGAATTTACCAGTCAACTGCAGCACCCTGAAGCCTTATAACCATAGTGCTCCTAACGACCCCAGAGAACTTGCTGATGATTTCTTTAGTCTGACATGCAATTAGTTTTCTACACCTCCAACAGAAAACAAGGCCAATGTAGTTTTCCTGTGAGGTCAAGCCATACAATTCATTCAGAAATTATAAATTAACACATTATCATCCGTCCCAAAAGTGACATGGCATGGATTGGCAACAGTTCAAGTAAGATAAAACTTGCGTTAGAGTTACAAGAGTGCCATTATTGATCTTAAAGTTATCTACTAGCGTGAACCTTCCCATCAGGCATTATTTGTTCTGGTTTTCTCATGTATAAACCTCACTGAAGCTTGACAAGCTGACAGGCTGAATCATCATAATAAATGAGAGGCCTGGAATTTGAAACTAATAAAACATACGGAGATAGCTGTATTCATTGTAGGCATGAAGAACTGCAGAACTTCCCTGAATAGGATTACCTCAGATAAATCTGCTTCAGTGAGCAGCTTTTAAAATCATTGCAGAGCACATTTGGAAGCATTTTTCCAATCTTCTCCTTTATTTCCAGGGAATAAATACTGCTCATACTTTCCCAAGAGATCTGCTCCTTTAGAAAAGCAAATGGGAAAAGTTCACCTTCTGACACAGGCCGAGGAAGATTCAGGACAGCTGCCGTGGCCTCCTCCAGCTCACAGAAGGGATTCTCTCCAAATACTAGGGTGTAAAGTGTGACACCAAGTGACCACATCTCCAGCTCAGGGCCATGGTACCTATGCAGAAATAAACTTGCATAAACTCAGATTGCAAATACGTAATTGTGTGCTAAAGTAAAAAGAAAAAATGCAGCTGATAGCCCTTATTTCCAATTTTTAACACAGGAAGTTTGTGAGAATTCTAATAAGGATCTCGTGTTTTTTAGAAGTCTGTATTATCCTTCTCCATGAAACCAAAGAACGGCCAATTTCAGTTGATGAGTATGTATAATATGCACCTAGCCTTTCACATGTGTAAGCTGGTGACAAGAGAACTTAAGCATCCTCCTTCTTCACCATAAGCCAAAACTATCAAGTAAGTATTTAAATGGAAGATCAGACACTTCAGTGGAATCCCATTTGCCCCCTCCCATCCCCTTCAAAACAAAAGTTATTTGGAAATAAATATTAACTATCTAGATTCCATCTGAGAAAAAGGGACAGTTTCTTCACACAGTAACAGGCTGAATTCCCAGGGCAGCACTGCTTCATCTTCCATCTAGTTCCCAGCAGGGATTTCTTCTCCTCCTTGCATAGCTTTCCCCGCCCCATTAAGAGGAGCTGCCTGAAGGACCCGTGAAAACAGCTGTGAAATAAGAGCAAGATAACATACTTGTACGTACAATTAATGTTTACCACCCTGTGATGGTAAGGATTCGCTCCAGGAGTGGGTATGAGACTGCCAGCCTCCAGGTAAAGAGCACTCAGAGAAGGAGAGAATAGGAAAAAGACAGCTAAGATTTGGGCAGCACATCCAAGATAGCAGCAAGCTGCAAGGGAAGAACCCTTGAGTCCAGAGGAGCACAAAAATCAATGGGGAGATGAACAATGATCAAACTGCAAAAATTCATACAGGGAAGCAAGTAGGAAAGAAGGGAACAGATGAGATGAGAGTGGGAGAACTACAAAATGCAGACATGGTAAGGGGCAGATGCTATACAGCAACACTTGCTTATACCACCTGCCTAAAAGAGCAGCTTTTAGTAGAGACACGTCAGTGTGTTCAGATACAGGTATGAAGAGAAGGTTAGCAAGCTGATGTACACATTATGAAAGATTAAGGGAAAAGGATTCAAGTCACAACACAACTCATCCAGACTCTTCTACCAGGCTGGAAATGAAAATCATATGCTTGTTCTTGAACTCGGCTCTGCAGTAGGACAGACATTAGTACAAGGCTTTGCAAAACATCTAACCAGAATAAGAAAGCCTGTCAACAGACTTAGTCAGAAACAACTTCGTAGGTATTCAAGCCTTTACAAATAATTTCTGTCACCGCAGTGCCCTACTTTATAAGCATTCAAACCTTCACAAGTAATTTCTGTCACTGCAGCGCCCTAAATCTCACTGCAGTTTTCTGCAGTGAGATACTCCAGCAGAGTACCAATGGCAAAGCAGCTTGGCTTCTCTATTCCAGCCCTGCACACACATTTTTTTGGTGCAATAGACACAAAAATTACTTTTCAGAGGGTGACATACGGTTTGCCAGACAGCACTTCTGGTGAGCAGTATTCAATTGTCCCACAGAAGGTATAAAACAATTTGCCGGGTTCCAGGTAGGCAGCTGAACCAAAGTCCACTAATTTAATTGCAAAATCTTCAGCAATGACAATGTTTTCATCCTTGATATCTCTGTGAAGGATGTTTCTACAGTGGAGATACCCAACAGCAGATACAAGCTGAAAGAGGAAGAAAGAACTAGGTGTTACTACACAGAGGTGTCCTTCTGGATAATCTATGTGGCATCACAGAGTTCCAATAGCCACATTTTGGCTTGTTTTGACACTATATAAACGAGATACAGATCCTGGTAACTAGAAATGAACTCAGGCATGCCTGTCAGCATTGCTGCAGTGGGTGTTACAATGCTCTTGGGAGAGAGAC